TTTGATTTTCGTTTCTTGGTTTTGATATTATTTGTGGTGTTTTGAACCTCTGGATAAGTTTGGATTAGGTATTCGTACTTAATGGTATGATTGGGCGAGGTCGCGGGAGTCTCGGGTGTGTTTCGGAAGTATTCCGAAGCATTTTGATGTATTTGAGTAGTTCTGGTTCTGGTGTTTCGCACATGCACCTGCTTATGAGAGGTTGGCGTTGCTTCTGCGATGGTTGGGTGTTTTGGATATTGTCACTTCTGCATAAATGGGAGGGCAACTGCGAGTTTGCACCTGTGGAGTGTATGGACGCAGAAGCGAGGAGCTGACTGGACGTGGAAATCCGCATGTGCAGAGCTTGTTGCGCGGATGCGAGAGCGCACCTGCGAGGAGTAGCAAACATGTGAAGCTGTAGATGCGACTGTGTTGTTGCAGATGCAATGTGTGGCCAGTTTGGGGATGCTCGTAGATGCGAGGCTTTTACCACAGAAGCAGTGTCACAGATACGACTATTTTGTCCACAAATGCGGATTCAGTAGGATTAGTTCATTATTTCATATTTGGAGATTAGGAGCTTGGATTAAGGGGATATTTGAGAATATTTTCACCCACGTGGATTGGATTAGTATTTCTGACTCGTATTTGATTGTTATTCATGGTTCTATCTTCGATTTTGGCATTTGATTGATGAATCTAAGGAAGAAGATTTGAATTTTTTGTCGACAATTTAAGAGAGTGTATTTTGAGAATTTAAGTACCAATTTGGACTTGGTTTTGGAAACTAATTATATATTTGGACTCGTCAGGTTATAGTTCATCGAATTTTGGTATTAGTTTTGAATATCGGGCCTAGGGGACCGAGTTGACCTTTGTTGATTTTTGAGAATTTCTTCAAAGATTGAAGCTTTATAAATTGACATTGATTCCTATGGCATTGTTGACTTCTTTGGATGATGTTTGGCTTGGATTTGTGCGATTGGAGGGCTAGAGTGAGGTTTTGAAGCGATTTGAGATTGAAGACTAGCTCGGATAAGGTAAGTATCTTACCTAGTCTTGGATAGAGTGTATTTTCCGCATTGGCTATGAAACTTGCTATATGTTGGGGTGACATATGTTGACACTCAAATTTGACCCTCCGTATTTAAAAATTAACTTCTGCAGGCTTCCTAGTCAAAAAATGATGAAATGTAGTTTTCTGCACATTATTTAGCTTTAATGCAATTTATTGATAATTATTCCTATTTTTACAAAATATAAGAATTTTTATCATTTTATTGCAATTAGTTAAATACTACTATTTTGTGTATTTTTCTACATTTCAAAATAATTTATTGATAATTGTCCTATTTTTTAAATACCAGGATATTCTATTAAATTATTGTCCTTTAAAATATATATAATAATTACTACAATATTATTGTAGTCATTACCATTTTCAAATAAGTACTAAAAACTATATTTCCTAATTATATAATTATCTTTTAATTTATAGCATAGTCTGTTAATTACATGGAAGCTGGTAAAATTTATCTCAAAATACGGATCAAGTCCAGTCAAATCTAATGTCCCGTCAACATCCGATGTGACAAGACCTCTTGATATGACAATATATTGTGATGTGACAAGTCATTGGATGTGACATGGCCTTCATTACCCATTTGGTAAATTTTCAACCCAATCCGAAACCAAAAAGTTGCAAAATATGACTCAAGAGACGAAAATAGGTGAAAAAACCTAATGAGGACCATATTATGTATAACGCATCTAAAACATGCACTAGGCCAGTTATCCTGTTAAGGTATAGCGCATGTAATACATGCGCTATACTCAGTATTTGCAGAGCCATAATAATTTTTTCTATAGTGCATGTATTATATGTGCTATGTGTAAAACACATATATTACATGCGTTATACTTAGCAATTGCCATCCCTTCGCATTGGATAGTTGCTTGATTAAGGCCGAACATTCGTTCTTCAAAAAATCATTCGGAAGCATCCTTCATATCACTATATCTTCATCAATATATACATTTTCTCTTTGAATCTTACTACAATGTCTGATAAGCGAAAACTTAGAGTTGCATTATATTGGGGTGGTGAGGTTGTGGTGGAGAATAACTCGGTACACTATAGTTATTCTCCACAGAGTATTGTTAAGGTACCACTCACATTGGAGTACGACAAATTATCATCTCTGATTTATAATAGAATGAATGTGAGTAAACATTCGGTTAATCTTAAGGTAACCGGAATATATCCACATTCGCTTACTCCGCAAGGGGTTGCTTGTTATGGCGAGTTTAACATTGAAGATGATGAAACTATGCAAGATGTTTTGAGGACTCCGGATGAACACCAGGATATTCTCGTGTTAACAATGCTGGAAATGTACGCCAAGTCTGAAGACGTCAACAATATTGATGTTCAGCGAAATATAACTAACACTCAACCATCTGGTGGTGTTTTCGGAGCTGTTGTTGAATGGAAGCACGATCGGAGTCCTGACTTTCCACAAAACATATTTAGATATGTGTTCTGGGCATTTAAACCATCTATTGATGGTTTTGTTCATTGTCAGCTATTAATGTCCATGGACGGCACACATGTGTATGGAAAGTATGATATAAAGATGTTGATTGCCGTTGTAATTGATGCTAATGGCCAAATATTCCCCCTTTCCTTTGCTATTTATGCCAATGAAAGTCAAGAGACTTGGACATGATTTTTAAACCACTTGAAGGAGCACGTTGTGAGATAACGTTTAGGTTTTTGTCTAATATATGATCGACACGGTGGGATTTTAATTTCTGTGCGTGCTTTGGATGCATGGAAGGAGTCGTACGATTACCACCGTTATTGTGTTAGGCACTTGAAGGCCAACTTCAAGCGGGCTTATCCAAACAAGAGGTTACATGATCTAATGTTGATGCCTGTAACAGATCATCAAGAGAGTAAATTCTTGATGCAAATGGAATATATTAGGTAGGATGACGAAGGAGCTTATCGTTGGTTGATGGATCATGAGATTGAGAAGTGGACTCTGCCACTGTGCACATATCTCACCGGACGTTCTTCTACATCCCTCGATGTGCCAGGATGATCATTATAGTACTCATCCAAATCAAATGACATAATGGCGGTGCCCGCGATTGATAATGGAGCCGGCGGAGTAAACTGTGAAGTCCTCGGTGATAACAGTCTGAATGTAGGCATATCATCACCAGCATCGAGTGCCTCACCAACGTCACCCGGCAAACCTTCGCCAGTATCCTCCACGGGTGCCTCGGTGCCCCCTTGCTAGCCACCCTCTGCGCAGACCACCCTGACCACGCGGGCTACCCCTTCCTCTCTGGACACGCCTGGCACATCTACCACGTGCATTCCTAGCCCATAATGGTACATCAAAACCTAATTGCATATCCACTCGTGCAGCTACCAATGTGGCAGTAGCAAGCGCAGAAACCTGAGGGCTCCAATGGTGCAATAGTGGCGTTCCGTCGTCTAAATGCTATTTCATCTCCCGACCCATCTGGTGAATACGGTGTAAAACAATAGCCTGCATAGAATGTAACATATTAATTAAAGAAGATAAGTAAATCTAACATTTTACGTAAGTATATCAAATAACATACCAGTGCCTCGTGCCTCCCGGTATATGGAATGTACCCTAAGAGCGGTTTTTGAGACAAAAACTGGTCATTCTGTGGATCCGAGATAGAATTCCGGTCCTACAATTCCTTCCCTTAATAGCCTTGAGTTGTTGGTTACACAGCACCGAAAAAACACTCTTTGGGAAATCTAGATCTTTCTCAGCAGGGACAGTACCAAGAGGGAAAACTTTACCAGCTACTTATTTCATGGCTTTTATTTGAGCTGCGGACCTTGGAAAGTTTTAACATAAGCAGGAGGGATTCGCAGATCTTCCAGACATAGAGCGCGCAGGGCTTTGAACCTAAATACGTTACCTATAATGGAAGTAAAACCCTCTCGATGTTCGGGATTACCTATTAGAGTGCGAGTAACACGACGATACCAAGCCATGTACTCACTCTCACCGTCAGCACTGTTATGTGGAGGGTCTGGAGGAAACCTAAAATATCTCTGATCCTAGTCTTCTATCTGGGCCTCTAGCCAGACCAAGTATGCATGGTCTACTCTACTGCAATCATCCCGCTCGTAATGCATGGCATGCCAACTGGGATGAGCAGGTACATGCTGTGGCCGGCCAAACTGTCGCAGGACTCTCTCGGTCGGATGATGCTCAACTATATCTACACATATCAATGTGACCTCGGATAGCCACACCGCTCGACCTCGTGAGCAATAGTCTGGCAAACTAGCGACGAGCTCGTCACTATATGGACTCCATATGAACTATTTATTAAGCGCAAGAACAATAAGTAAACGCAAGACAAATCAAGTATTAACAAACGTACTAAGTCGAATATTTTCCAGACCACCATCCAGTAGATCCAACATATCCCTGTAAAGAGGGAGATGATGTCGATCCTCGACGTCGCGGGCACGGCCTCTCCTATCTACCCACCTCCTAGCTCATGGTAGAAGCGGTGGAGGTGGTCTATTTGGAGCTGGTGGTCGAGGAGGGGGCTGCATCTGCAATAATATCTCCCAAGCCCAAACCTATTATTGATTGTGGATGTAAAATTTAGTATTTGTTTTACTATATCTATGATAATCATGAAAAGAATTAATAATGTTATCACCTGTAGTAGCGGAATAAATCTAGAGATGTCCCTCGCGCTACCCATCGACGCCCTGCACAGCTGCCCATATAAGCACCACCCCAACTGTACACGGGTAAATCATCTAAGTGATCCAGATGAGGCAAAAAACGTAGTAGGCTCACAAGGTTCTCTGAGGTGTTAGGGAAAATAATTCCACCAAATATCGTCAAAAGCAACAGCCTTGGCTGCCGATCAATAGCCTCCACTAGTGTCTCCTCTGTGATCTACCGGTGAAGCGCCTTCAGGTGCTGCCTAACATGCAATAGCTATAATTGACTAAATCCACTAATCGCAGTCTCCTCAGCCGGCAAGAATCCAGTGAGCCTCTCTAGCATCTCTAGATAGTCATGCTTCCTATACTCCCTAACCGCGAGCGGGTAGTGGACAACAAGACTGTCCGCGGGCAACCCAAATAAAACCTCCACGTCCTGTAGCGTGATGGTGGCGTCCCCGGTAGGCAAATAAAATGTGTGCGTCTCAGGCCTCCAACGCTCAATAAGAGCCATGATCAAAGGCCAATTGAACTGCAACCGACCGACCTCAACAACTTGGTAAAAACCAGCTTGAGTGAGGCAAACAACTGTGCGATGATGAAGTGGGTTATCCCTAATAAACTCCCAGAAGTCATCAATGTGTCTCGGGTGGAAGTTCTGGCTAAGCAACTCTCCATCCCAGATATGTGAAGGCCTATGGCCCGCCTGGAGCGTAAGTAGCTCACGAGAAACAGGTCCAGGATGAAAAGCCGGGCGATCCATAATGATGTATGTACATTGATTAATATTAATTAAAGTTATGTTCTCTTTACCCGTTTAACGTGTCGAGACATCTTGAAATATTTTTTATATTATTATTTATTTCATAAATTTTTATATTATTAATTATTTTGATATAAAGTATATATTTATCCTTTATTTATTTCATAACGGTTTATATGTTAGTTTTTAGGATTTTACGACCAAAATTTGGCAGATTCTCATTTTTACTAACAACGTTTTATATTTTTATTCGTAATTAAAAGAACACTAAATATTTAGTTTGCTTAATTTATCGAGAAATTTTTAAATATTTATATCAATTATTTTGATATAAAGTATAATTAATACTTTATTTCTTTCGTAACGGTTTATATGTTAATTTGTTATATTTTGAAATAATAAACCGACAGGGTCGCATTTATACTGACAACTAATTATATTTTTATTCGTCAACCAAATAACACTAAATATTTCATTTATTTAACTTTTCGTGTTCTAATTGATTAGTATGTGATAATACTTTTACTATAAGATTATTAATTGATCGGTATATGATTCGTAATTGATTACACTAAAGGATTACGTTAATGGAAGCACATATCTATTGTTCTACACTAAATGACTACGCTAAAGGACACTAAAGAACACTAAATGTACATATTTATTGTTCTACAATTATACAATATTCAATAAATTAAATATTAACAATTAGACAATATTCAACAATTCGGCAATATTCAACAAATTAAATGAATAAAATAAATTTTAGCACAATTTTATAACTAGAAAAAAATAAGAAGAAATACAACGAATTATCACAAAACATCGCATATTACCACAAGTTACACGGAATAGCATAAATTCAGATTTAATACAATAGCATAAAGATGGCATAAATTCGAGTAAAAAAATATAATCATAAATTAACTAAACACGCACCAAATCATGGCATAAATTACTAAAAATAAAGTACACAAATATATAAACAACTACAAAAAGAGTTTATCGAAATACCTTCTTCTTCTTTTTTTGAAGTTTTTGACCGGTGAATATACGTCGTTTTTTCAACCAAATCAGAGCACAAATAGCGTCTACACCCCGAGCTAACCTTGAATCTTGTCGTTTTTCCGTAATGTTAAGCTATACGTGATTTCCGAACTTAAAGGTGGGCTCCAATGGAAGTTTGTAAAATAGAAATCGGGGGAGGGGGGGGGGGCGAGATTCTGTCGGGGAAGAAGAAGGCTAGTTATTTTATATACGTATAGTGCATGTATTACATGCACTATTCCTGACCGACTTTTGAGTTTCAGGTATAGAGCATGTAATATATGCGCTATACTACAGTTTAAAAAATATGAGTATAACACATCTACAAAATACGCTATACCTTAACGGGGTAACTAGCCGTTAAGGTATAGCACATTTTTAGATGCGTTATACATAATATTGTTCGCAACACCTTTTTTTTTATTTATTTTTTTTACCTATTTTCGTCTCTCGAGTCATATTTGGCAACCTTTTGATTCCGGGTTCTTGTAATGACCTGACCGGTCATTTTGTATATTTGAGTCCCGTTTCCACTTTTGAAGCTTTCCGTATGTTTATTTGTGGTTTTATGACCTGTGGGGATGATTGGTTTTGTTTCGGGGAGGTTTTGGAATGAATTGGATCCTTTAGTTCTTGGTTTAGAAGCGTAAGTTGGAAATGTTGACCGAGATTTTCCTATTTGCGAAAATGAACTCGGAACGCTGTTTTGATGGCTTCGATAGGTTCGTATTGTGATTTTAGACTTGGGCATATGTCCGGAATTGAATTCGAAGGTCCCTAGGTTGATTTGACTTGTTTTGCCGAAAGTTGACAATTTGAAGGTTTAGAAATTTTTTAGGTTTGACCGTAGGTTAACTTTATGGATATCGGGTTCAGATTTTGATTTCAGGACTTGGAATAGGTCTGTTTTATTATTTGAAACTTATTTGCAAATTTGGTGTAATTCCGAGTTGGTTTGATAGGAATTAGATGCTTGGTTGTGTTTCAAGCGATTCTGGAGTTTCCTTTTGAATTTCATGTGTTTTGATATCCGATTCATTGTTCTGGATGTTATTTTGGTGTTTGGTCGCATGAGCGATTTCGTTTGATATTTTTAGACTTGTGTGGATGTTGGTGTGGAGCCTCGAGGGCTCGGTTGAGTGTCAGACGTGTTTTGGATTGGTTTGAACTCATTCTAGGTTGTTGGTGTGTTGGTGCTTCAGTTATCGCAATGGCGAGCACCAACATCGCAATTGCGAAGTTGGTAGGGGATCTCAGGTATCGCAATTGTGACACCTTGATCGCAATTGCGACACCTTGATCGCAATTGCGAAGGGTGACCTTTGGCTGGGTAGCTCGCATTTACGAAAGGGACTGACTTTGCAAATGCGAAATCCTTGTCGCATTTGTGACTTTCCTTGGGCTTGTCATGTGCTGCATTTGCGATGGAATGTCCGCACTATCGAGTGTTCGCAATTGCGAAACCCAGGTCGCATTTGCGAATTTTGCACCTGAACAAACGGGCTAGAAAATAGGATTTAGCTTTATTTATCACATTTTAGAACCCTAGACTCTGCAGGAGGCGATTTCGAGGAGGGATTTTCACATACAACTATTGGGTAAGTGATTTTGATAAAATTTCAAATATATTACATGATTATTTGTGAGATTTAACTTATAATCCATGGAATTTGAAGAAATATTTTGGGAAACTTTGGCTATGTTTGAAAAATAAACATTTGAGATTTGATAGTCGAATTAGACTCGGATTTGAAAAAAACATACATATATGATCTCGTAGGGTTATGGGTAGTCGAGATCTGCCCTTGGACTCGGGTTTTGACCGGCCGAGCCCGGGGTTGACTTTTCTTGACTTTTTGAAAATTATGTAAAGATCTTAGCTTTATTAATGGAAATTAGTTTCTCTTGCATTCTTTGATGATATTAAGTCATTTTTCGTTAGATTTGAGCCGTGCGGAGGCGAAGTTTAAGGGAAAAGCCATTTTTAGCGTTGATTTGGCCTAGTTGAGGTAAGTATCTTGTCTACCTTTGTGTGAAAAAACTACCCCATAGGGTTGAGCTTAATTGGACTATTTAAATTATGTGGAAGACGTGTACATGAGGTGATGAGTGTGTACATGGGCTTATATGTGAAAATTGATCGGTTTAGAATCTTAGGTTACTTACATGCATTTAGTCGTAGTTTTTATTACATGCTATCTCTTCCGTTGTTGAGTTATTCTCATGCATTTAGCTGTAGTTGTTATTACATGCTATCTCTTCCGTTGTTGAGTTATTCTCATGCATTTAGTCATAATTGTTATTACATGCTATCTTTTCCATTGCTGAGTTATTCTCATGCATTTAGCTGTAGTTGTTATTACATGCTATCTCTTTTATTGTTGAGTTTATGTTATGCATTTGTATTGAAGTTGCCATTTCATGGAAATATCTTTAGTTGTTGAGTTTAATCTCCCATTTCATTGTGTTGTTGTTGAGACTCTTGTATACATTGTTGCGAGCCATGGGATATGCATTGTTATGATATTGGTATTGTTGTTTTGGAAATATTGAGGTATATGGGCACGTGTGGTGCAAGTTGATTATTGTGCTGTGATGAGATGCACATACGGCAGTATAAGGGTGGCGATATTGATGCGCATGTGGCGAAATAAGGAGGATTTATGCGCGTGTTACTAGTAAGGGGAATTACTTCATTCGAAACACATGCGGCAAGATAAGGGGGATAAAGCGCGTGAAGCTATTTCAGAAAAAATATTTTTTAAAATAAATGCAAGGTTCATGCGGAGATAAGATTGTGACTTGTAAATATGAGGTGTGGTACCTCGGAGTGATTCTTGTTATTCATTCTACGTTGGAACGACTTGTTGATTTGAACGGTTATTGTTTTCCTTAATTCATTTCACTTGTGTTTTGATTGTATTTGATCATTTGTTGTTTCTATCATATGGTCACTCTTTATTGTCATTTATTGCTTTTACTTCCGTTGTTAGCCTTATATTAACATTCTGCTTTGTTGTCATTTATTGCTATTACTTCTTGTTAGATTATATCAATATTCTGCATAGGTTTCTATGTCTAGTAAGTGTCTTGACCTGACCTTGTCACTACTCCATCGAGGTTAGTCTTGATACTTACTGGGTACCGTTGTGGTGTACTCATACTACGCTTCTGCATATTGTTTTGTGCAGATCCATGTATTTCTGCCCGTGCTGGATGCTAGTGAGTTGATTCACACGTCGCTGAGACTTAAAGGTATACCTGTTTGATGCTCGCAAGCCTCGGAGTCACCTTCTAGTGATTATATGCTACTGTTTCTTTTGTTTCCGAACAATATTGTAATAGAGATTCCTAGTGTATTTCTGTAGCGCTTATGAATCTCTACCACCGGTCTTGGGATTGTATGACTGTTGTTCGGTTTTGAGTTTTTATTATGTTATTTATCCGTTTAAATCAATAGCTTAGTCGTTATTTCTACTAATTTCTCAACATGTGTTAGGCTTACCTAGTCTTAGAGACTAGGTGCCATCACGATTCCTAAGGTGGGATTTTGTTGGTATCAGAGCTCTAGTTTTATAGGTGCTACAAGTTATAAGTAAGTTTAGTAGACTCTTGCAGATTAGTACGGAGACGTCTGTACTTATCTTCGAGAGACTACAGAACTATTAGGAAATTCCACTTCTTTCATTCCTTATCATGCAGGTTTGTTGATTTTAAAATCCGAGCCTTTGTCTTTTTGTTCTCTCATAGATGGTGAGGACACGCACTACCGGATCAGCTGAGCAGACACCGGCGCCCCCTACTAGAGCCACGAGAGGTCAGGGTCGAGTAGAAGTAGAGGAGGGGCATGTGGTGCAGCTAGAGCACCTGCCAGAGCATCGATTGAGGAGCCACCAGTAGCTCCGGTTAGGTGGCAGGCACCCGAGGCGCTTATTGCTTTCCTTAGACTCCAA